AAAAAAAAAAAAAAAAAAGCATTCTAGCAAACAAAACAGGACTGTACTAGGCCTGAGAACCACCAGCTTGCAATTCATAAAAAAGAACGCCCGCCATACAAACTGCAAGTGGAGAGTGGGGGGGCGGGGGACAAAACACCCTCACAGCCTCTCCCCACTCTTATAACCACTGACCCCAAATCTGCGGTAGGTTATCGACGTTGTGAGGGGTTCTGCTGGAAGCCACTTATTGCTACCACCTCCCAGCATGTGTGCTCTGGCCCCAAAGACAAGTCAGGCAGTAGCACAAGTTATAATTTGACCCAGAGAACAGGGGGTGGGGGGTAAAACTGTAAAAGGGGCAGAGTGGCAAGGTCTTCAAATCCTAATGAAGGGGCCTGAATATCTGCACTGACACTGGCTAGTCTGCAACGATTACAATGTACTAAGAATAAGAGGAAAACAGAGAGGAACCCTGGAAGTGCCTGGCACCAGGAAGCAAGATTCATTGGCCACATCACCTATCTGAGCACGGGGATTTTCCCACACTGCTGAAGTCTACAAAGCCTACTCAATGCGTGGGCTTTAAGACGGGCAGCTTATGGGTTAAATCGTTACCGTACAATTACAGTACTGGGATTATAAAATTTCTTTAGATGGCAAGATTCTTAAAAACCTGTGAAGTAGGCTGTACTTTGTAAGCCTTCCTGGAAATGGCCATCCCACAAATTGTTTTCCTTCGTGTTACCCGGGCGCAACGTTGCATGTAGCACACAGCAGTCCGGAGCAGCTCTGTGCCAAGCAGGCGGTGGCCTTGCCTTCGAGCCGTTACCTGACATGCGCAGGATGCATCAAACGCCCCCGCTCCCTGTCAGCAGTTACCTTATCATGTGGCTCTTGCAAGGTAGTCAGGATGTGCAATACCGGCTGAGAATTGGTTTCTAGGTAATAATCCACCAAGGTGTTTACAAGCATAGGACCACGGTCTAAACACAGAAAAGAGCAATTTATGTACTCATTCCCTTTAATATTAACACACTACACTGCCTCAAGTAGCTGCCTGTCATGACATCCAGAAAACATTTTGTTACATGCTACCCAAACGCCTTATTTCATGTAGCATCATGTTTCTGCTTACTTTAGGGTTAACAATAATTTCAGGCTTATTTGCCTAACTATCCATAACATGCTATCAGGACTTCTTAAATTATAAAAATATCACGCTATTGTTATATAGTGAAAGCATGTAAAAGTGCAAGGTCTCTGTACAAGTTGCTCCAACCCACCCTTCAGAGATGGGTGTGTCCTTCTAACACGTCCTCCTTGCACAATCGCTCCCACCTGGTCCACATCAGTGTCATTTGTTTCCTTTTCTCCACTTAACGATGGATCACATCAGCCTCCCAGGACAGCCTACGACCTCTCCGACCTTCCCACTGTCTTCCCGGTGCTCCACTGCACAGCTTCACGTAATTCACTGAACCATTCATCTACCGAGCAATACTTGGTTTGCCGATTTTTCACCATACTTATTTAATTTAAGGCTATAATGAGACTCAGATTCTGCTAAGTGGCCAGATGATATGTGCTTTTAACTCTACAACAAACACTCCGAAACAGCTGAATACCAATTCATACTCTTGCTAACAGTGCTCATTTTTCACATCAGAACCGACTTGTAAACCTGGTAAGCAAAAAAAAGGGTTCTATTCAAGTCTGTATTTCTCTAAGGAGAGGTTGCCACTTTTCATATTAAAAACCACAATATGATTTACAGACAAAATAATATGTCTGAATTTTTGCTTTCAATTCTGTGGAGTGAGGAAGGCTGAAACAAAATGGTAGAAATTCTGCACCTGGGTTTCATGGGGCTCCCTGTGGAGTGTCGCGTCCTTGCGTGTGTGCTTACTTCCATAACTGAAGGCTTAAAACACAGCACGAATCCCCCAGTGCATGCCCTCTTCTGGTGGTTTAAAAAGCTCTTCAGAAGATGACAACTACTGTTTGTCAGCTGGGTTCCAGCTGGCTTAGGTCCACCTCTTCCCGTGGTCAGACACGTAAAGAAGAACACGCCCGGGCTTACCGGAGTTGAGGTTCTCTTTAAAGACAGCCATCACATCTTCACGCACACCCAGTGTGGGGGAGTCCAGCATGGAGAGCAGCTCCCCGACGCTCCCCGGCTGGGCCATTCTCCGTGCCACTATGCTGTGCTGGCTCCAGGACTTGCATTAAAGGCTCACACAGCTCTTCATTAGGGCCACTACCCTACTACAAAAAGGAAGACGGACGGTGTAAGCAATGGCTCTGTTTCCCCCCACAGAATGGGTGTGATAGCACAGACCTGTAATCCCTGCACGCTGGGAGGCTGAGGCAGGAGCATCACAAGTCTGAGCCCAGCCGGGACCTTGCTTCAAAAGAATAAAAAGGGATGGGGATGTAGAGTTCCACCCCCAATACTGCCCCCCACAGTAAATTAAATGAATAAATCAACTTGCAAGACAAACCAGCGCATGTATTTAATACAGTGAAAATCTGGCCACAGCTCTGCTGATAAAGATAGGGCATGGGAATAACTCTGTCTTTGCTAACTTTACAAAGCAAGAGGAGCTCTAAGGGATACAACAGAAAGGAGCCTCCAACACTGATACCATTCAAAACCAGACACCACTGCAACTCAGCACTAGCTTTACTTCTACTTCTGACTCTATCTGGGGCTCCAGCTAAGACTGTTTATGATTCAAATCACTGATCCAAAAGAACTATAAGCACAATATTTTCTTTGTCCCAATCCCATCAATGTCTAAAAGTCAGAGTACCTGCGTAGGCCACAGCTTTGTTAAGGTCCGAGCCCTGGTGGGAACCAAGGATTACTTGTTCACGGCGTACACTCTTCCTCCCCAACATCTATCGTTCTCCCAAAGGCTACTGGCTACGGAAAGCAGCCACAGACGGGAACCAGTACAGCAAAGCTCCAACTTATCAGCTCCAGCTCTTCTTGGTAGTGGAGCAGTTGATTTGTCTTTATGTATAAAAGCAACCTGTTCCTCAAGCATTACTGTGCACATTTATGATTTTTCCCCTCCCCTTCAGACTGCTGTATTTTTAAGGAATAAAAGGTACCATTTATGAGACTGACGCTACAACCATCAGGGCATCTATACCTTATGTTACCTTGTGGTTTTCATTTCTGTCCACACTGTATGCAGGGACAGAAATCAAGATTAAGCCCTTTGCTCTGGGTCGCAGAGACAAAACCAGGGTGGGGGGAATGAAAAGTGAACCTCATTCTGCCAACTCTAAGCCCAAAGCCTGTGAATGTGACAGAGTGAACCTGTGACTTTGACCATTGCAGCCGACGCTAGGAGCTCAGCAGGTATCATCCTCACTTTACAAATGGGAATACAGACACCCAAAAAGGATAATTTTGCCAAGGTGAAATGGTAAAGTACAACTTGAACAACCCAATTCTCTGGCCAGTGATTATGTATGGCATTAAAGTATATTCCTATTTGCCTTTTTTATAGTTAGCCAAAGTAGTTCTTAAGTGTTCATGCACATCAAAACCACTGGGAATTCCTGTTAGAAATGCAATTTCCTTGGCCCATTCCAGAACTGAATCTTGGGCTTAGGCCTTTCCCCACCCCAAGTATTGGAGATTGAACCCAGGGCTTTACAGTGATAAACATCTGCAGTTGTTGTTTTTTTGAGGCAGGTTCCTAAATTACTAAATTGCCTAGGCTGCGCCTGAACTTGCATCCTTGAACTCAGCCTCCCAGAGTGCTGGGATTACAGGCATGTAGCATGCCTGGCTGGTATATATATATAT